TCTCACATTTGCACAAGCAGAGGAAATATGGAAGAACACTACTACACGTTGATGTGCGTCCCGTCCCATCTTTTCGAATACCCCTGGGTGCCAGAGGAAGTTGCAGCCTCATGCAGTACTCCTCACAGGGTGGTCCATGGACCAGCAGCATCAGCACCACTTGGTATCTTATTAGACACGAATTCTCAGGCCCTCCCACAGAACTGCTGAATCAGAATCTCGGGGTGGGAGTCAGAAATCGGAGGCTTTTGAGGATGAAACTAAAAAACTTTGCTTCCATCGTTTTCATGTGGCTACAGTTTTCAGTGTTTGGAAACGCTGTCCCCACAATGTCTCGTGGGAAATCCTCCTCTATAGCAGAGCTGTACCATAGGGCTTTCTTCCACGATGGAAGGTTCTAGATTTGCACTGTCCAACATAGTAGCTGTTAGGCACATGTGGCAATTGAGCACTTGAACTGTGTCTAGAGCAACTGGGGTACTTATTTAATATTAATTAATTTAAATTTAAATCGCCATGTATGACTGGAGGCTAGTATGTTGGACAGCATGGGTCTGGAGAAATAATTATAAGAACAACTAATAAACACTTAGTGAGTACTTACTATGTGCCAACTACTAGGTGCTTTACATGGATTATTTCTCTTAATTCTTGATGACACCCTATGAGATAGGTACTATTATTTCCTCCTTTCTATAGATGAAAATACTAAGAGATGTAAGTAAGAGGTAAAGAAAGAAATAGAACTGGAATTTGAACCCAGGTCTATCTGACTTTAAAGCCCATACTTGCGATTATTACCTCATACTGCTTCCTCGGTGACAAAAATGAAAACTGGCAAGAAAACATGTTAGAAGAGGGTGAACTGAGACTGTTTTAAGCAGCAAGTCTAAGGCTCTCAAAGTTGGATTTACTGGAAGACTGTTGTTGAGGATACTAGTCATTATGTCACTGAATGCACTCTCTGTGAGTGACCACAGCAAACCTGGAAGAAGTTGGTCTTAGATCTCAGAGCCAGAAACAATTGGTCTTAGAACTCAGAATCAGGAACAGCATTACAGACACTGTTAACTGTATATTGTGCTAGCTGGTGAAAAACACTGGGTTAAAAATGGAGTCCACCTTAGCAAATGTACAAGATTTGACAGCATATATTTTATTTGTTTATAATCTATCTGGGTGTCGGTCTGCCTATCTAAATCTATCATCTGTCTATCTAATCTATTTATCAATCATTTATCTACCTACTTAGCTACCTGCCTATATGATTTGCAGAGTGGCATGAAAATTATCTATCACAGCAATCTGAACAGAACTGTTGTTTTTGGGTCACTGGCACAAGGGCGAGAAGTTCCATGTCTCTGTAGACACTAGAGTGAATGAAGAAAGGACTTTAGAGAAACACACCGTAAAGTCAGTTCTATTGTTTATTACTTGTGTGATCTTGGGCAAGTTACTTAACCTTAGGAATTTGCTTCCTGATTTGTAAAATTAGATTGACAAGGGAATCATGAGGATTATGAGATGAAGCAATGAAGTGGGGCCCAGGACACACATACACGCACATACGCGCGCGTGCGCACAAATACACACACACACACACACACACACACACACACACACACACCCCTAGATGGTTCTACAAAACAAAACAGTATTTACACTGATATTTCTATTCCAAATTATTTCATTTTTAAAATGTTGGTCTTGTCTTAATTCGTTGACTTCAGGAACCAAAAAGGGTTATTTCTCACAGTATGAGAAACACTAAGACATAAAATGCTTGGAATATAGGTTGTACTCATTCGATAGTATAGTATGGAAGGGTTCTTCCTTCCATACACATATCCCGTTTCTAACCCATCCTGTATTAGGGCTCTGCATGAATGTGATTATATTCATTGCATGCTCCCTCCATTCTGCCTGCCTCTCCATCCATACAAGGGCAGGTGACTGGTGCCTCTTCCCAAGGGTAAACACTTGACTCTGCTTACCCCACTTAGATGCCTTTGGTTTCTGCTTTTTTTGAGAGCCTGGCTGTCCAGTTTTCTGATCAATTCTGTGAGCTTCCTGATATATTTCGACTAATTGTATTCTGTGATAAATCACTCAGAATCAATTTCTGTTATTTATAATAGGAACCCTACTAGTTTGTGCCTTAAAGTTCATGACTCCAGGAAGCCACCCAAGGGTTATAGGTAGGAAAATGACATCTGACTAGGCAAATTGCCAACTTTTCTTGAATAAAGATGGGATAAGGCTTTTCACAATCAAACTTTAGGTTCCATTTTACTAGGGCATATGGTGCACCTTAACTTAGAAAAATTTAAATTTACCTCTGGAATTTTAAGTACCCCAAAGGCTGGCAATGGAAACTACTTTGACGGCTTGTTCTTCCTGTGAGAGTATGACAGCCCGATCCCGTAGCCAGCAGTGCTCACCTGTGCTGACTTCGGTAACGAGTTCAGCTGAGTTGTGACAACCCTGGACTATGCTCCTTGTCCATTGAGAAAGGTCCCTGCTGATTTCGGCCCTGAAGAGATGTGTCTCAATCCCCTGCCTGGTACCGGTTCGTGTTGCAAAGGACAGATCCACACCAGTCTGAGGCAGTCCTTTCCCTGGACCTGAATGGACCAACCTGTTCAGAGAGAGAGAGAGAGAAATCATCGAAGTGGAAACTACTTTATTCACTGGACACGTTGCCTGGGAAAAGCCCCTAAACAGGCGACTTGTTCTCAGTCTTCTGATCTGAAACCAAAGGGTCCACTGTACCCTGGTGTTCATCAGTCATCTGCCATCCCCTCACTCAGTTTCTTTACAGTGGCGGAGTGACATTAAGGAGCGCCCAAGAACGATGCATCTGGTTGAATATGCAGAGCAATTGAATAATATGACTTTAACTATAGTTAGACAAATGCAACGATACTCACTCATCCAAATAGAAAGAGAATGAAATGAAAGAGGGAACAATTTAAATAATGTGTAAAATTCCCCCTGCCATTTCATTCCCGGGCATATATAGATCCCAGCGTGAGCACAAGAAGGGAAAAGAAATCTCCTGTTTCCTGGGTTAGACTTAGTTTGTTTCTTGCAGCTCGGAGCATTTGGCTGCACTGGATGTATGTCTAGGTGTGCATTTTTCATGCACAGGGTCTCCGAATAACCATGGGACTCCATTGAAGAAGTAGCAATCTGTGCACCTGTGTTAAAGCTTGAGCAAGAACTGCAGCGCTGGACTTCTTGAGAAAAGGAAGAGCATTGTACTTTATGGGAGATTGAAAGGATTTTCAAGAATGATTTGCACTGCTCACATTGTTCACACTGACTTTGCAACTTTACACTCGGCACAGAAGGTGACAACAACAGTAAATCTTTTCTCGAGTCAGACTTCAAAGTCTCTGAGTGCTACCTTCTGAGTAGCACTGGCTCCTACTTCTCACTTGTCCCCTATAAACACTCAGCTCTCTCTCGCTCTCTTCTGCTTCTCAATATCTCAGCCTCCTGTTGGAAGAGACTATCATACCAGTAATTTGCAGGATAGTGTAACTATAATTTAGTAAGTGTTACTTCTCTCCAGGGTCTTTGCATTTTCAGCCTTATCTTTTAACACAGAAAGAAACCAGTTGCTACAGAAATCCAGGTGGATGGGAGAGTTCTTTTCTTAGCAAAGCACTTGTTACCTCTAGATTAAAAACTGTATAAAGGAAATCCAAAAGCTTATTTTCTGTTTTAAGCTTAAATATTATTAGACCAGAGTTATCAGCGGAAAAAAGAAACATGTAGCCTGTTGAATTTCTAGCAACAGGCTTGTTGTATAACTTTGAGGAGTTTTATTTGTTTGTTTATTTGTTTGTTTGTTTTCACTTATAAAGTTGGAGTTAGTAGTTTGCAGGGCCAACTTGAGGAAAAACATTCATTGAAAAACCTCTCAGTCGTAAAATTTTAAATGAAGGTAGAGAAGTTCCCAAGAGAACAAATGTTGGCAAGAATGTGGAAAGAAGGGAACCTCGGTACACTGTTGGTAGAAATATAAACGGTGCCGCCACTTTGGAAAACATTGTGGAGATTCCTCAAAAAAATTAAAATTAGAACTACCATATGACCCAGCAATTCCACGTCTGCGAATACATCGGAAGGAAGCAAAATCGGTATCTCGAAGAAATATCCATACTCCTGTGTTCATCGCAGCATTATTCATAATAGGCAAGAAAAAGAAATAAGTGTCTATCGATGAATGAATGGATTTAAAAAATGTGACGCACGCAGTAATACTATTCAACCTATTAAAAGAAGGACATCCTATCGTTGGTGACAATGTGGATGAAACTGGAGGGCTATTACGCTAAGTAAAATAAGCCAGACAGAGCAAGACAGTGCTGACGTCATACATAAGTCAGGCTAAGCGAAAGATTTTTTTTTTCAGTGTTTACATCAATATTTTATTCAAACAAGCTTTTACACTGTACAAAGCCATGTAAACAGTGAGCATTCTTAAATTTAGATTTAACAAATTTACAAGATCACCCATACCTCTTTAAGGCTCCGAAATCAAAATCGATTAGTGAATCGATTAGTGAAAACCTGTATAGAAGGGTGACCTCCAAAAGGTCCATTGGTGACAATGTGGATGAAACTGGAGGTCTATTATGCTAAGTGAAATAAGCCAGATAGAGCGAGACAAATGCCGTATGAGCTCACTTATATGTGGAATCTTAAAAAAATCTAAAAGTCTAATTCACAGAAACAAAGTGTAGAATGATGGTTGCCAGGCGCTGGGCGCTGGGGGAAATGGGGAGATGTTGATCAAAGGGTGCACACTTTTAGTTTTAAGATGAATAAGCCCTGAAGATCTGATATATACCTTGGTGACTACAGTTAATAATACTGTACTGTATACTTGAAATTTGCAGACCTTAAGTGTTCTGTCACACACACACACACACACACACACACACACAAAGGGTAACTGTGAGGTGACAAATATGTTAATTAATTTAGGAATCATTTCACATGTACATCAGATCACGTTGTATTGATATCATATTATCTGTCAATTATACCTCAATATAAAAAACTAATAGAAGATAGAGAAATTTCATGAATCTCATAGAGAGGAGTTCAGGAAAGTGTGAGGGCAGATGTCTGCTGACATGGATGCCCACACAGGAATTTAACATGTGGAGACTGAGTCCAATTCATCAGGAGAGAGAAAGGCGTCTCGTAATGAGCAGTGAACAGGAATGACTGAGATGCTGCTGAGGTTTCTAAATCTTGGTGAGTGCAAAGAAAACGAAAGCTTTCTCAAAAGCCCAGTATACGTTTTAAAGGGATTGAGGACCAGCTAAAAATTCATTAAGAAAGGTATATAGAAAAAGCACAAGTTTATATTGTTTTCTTAACCGCTCGAAAGTGTTTTTACAGAGACTCGTGGACATGGACTATAGACTAGTTGTTACCAGAGGGTGAGGTGGGGGGGAGGAGTGGGTAGATAGACAGCGGGGTAAAGGGGGTCAAATATAGGTGGGTAGGGGGAAGGCAAAGTGGGTAAAAAGGATCAAATACATGGTAGCTGAAGGAAACTGGACTTTGGGTGGTAAACACACAATAGGATATATAGATGTCAAATTATAATGTACACCTGAAAATTATATAATTGTTTTAACCAATAAACTTCATTTAAAAAAATAATAAAAATGCTAAAAAAATATTTTAAAAAGTGTTTTTATACTCAAAGGTGTTTAAGTTTTAGTTGCTGCGTTAAGAAGCCTATCTAGTTATTCCTTCTTAAAATCTTAAAATCTGTTATCAGTTTGGCGCATCTGGCAAACTGCATGGTAAACTGAAAATGGACATAGGTTTGGGAAGCAGAAAACCCTGCAAAAGAACCACATCCTGCCGTTTGTTAAATGCATAGCACAGAACCTAGTACATTGCTTTCTGCTCCGTAAGTATTATTTCTATCCCTTGCCAGAACTCTTGGTTTTCTTATTTTAAGAGCATAATTCCTGCCTCATATGATTAGAATTAAATATAACGAAATTAAAAAGCACTCAATCTAGTATTTAGTGCATCATAGTAAGCATTCGATAAAAACGAGTTCCCTTATGCTCACTTCTATCCTCTAAATTTCCACCCAGGGGACATCGACTCTGTCACAATCTGGGACCAGCATTAATGTAACATAGAGGCACAAGTGAAGCGAGAAAAAGATATCCCACCGTCATGGAAAATGTCACTTTTTTGTGAATTTCCTACCAATATTTGCTTTTTCTCCAGAAACACTAGAAAATTAAATCCAACATTAACTGGAAAATGCAATTTGTTGGAAAATTCACATGTGGTAGGTCTAGGTATAAGGAACGAAATTACTCACAGGGTGTAACAAGGTCTGAGAGCCCTCTATCTGGCAGATGGGTACCGTCCGTGGGGCGTCCCAGATGGGAAAACCCAGCGTGCTATAGGAAATAATGATGGAAAAAGAGCCTTTGGAGGGACGGCTGTTGGTGCAGCTTGTTATTCATCTCATACCAAATACTCATCGGAAAAGGAAAAGGAAAAAATTAATTTTTCGACTAACCAAGTGTGAATTATCTAATATTTCTATTAAAGGACAAGTTGATTTGCTATTCGAAGAATGGCAAACATGCCGAATCATGTGTTCTTTTGAATATGCCAATACTGGTTAATGAAACATACAGTGTTGTATGTAAACTGTGAGATACAACAATTGTCTTTTCTGTTACCTCCTGTGCATACTGGTAACAAAAAGAAACTTTTTCCTGAGTAAAATCAAGTGAACTACATCAGATCTTCACATGAGTACACATCCTCTGGATGGAGCATTACACAGGCATTGAAAATTATTTTATAAACATATATGTAAAGGTGGGGAAATGAATCTATGTCTATGGAAAAGCTCTAGGTATGCAATTCAAGTACGTAAAAGAAAAGCTTGGATACAAATCTATTAAAATGTCAAATTTTGTGGGTGGTTTCATTTCTTCTTATACTTTTTTTATTCCGAACATTTTCTCTCAACAACATATACTACACAATTTAAAGATGAGCTTGAAAAGGCTCTGAGACATGAAATAAATCTTTCATTTTTAGAATGAGGACTTCTATTGCATAGAAAAATATACAGATTATGACTCAGCGTGGCATACATGTTTTGTTTGTTGTTTGTTAGTGGCAGTTCAGTGTCGGAATGCGAGATAAGCTTATCTCTGTCCTTTTTGGCATTTGTATCTGGGTTATTGTAAATTTTCCATGTCTGGCTCCTAATACCTAATGCCTGCTGGCTGTGGCTATGGAATAGCCTTTCTCAGAATAAAGTTAACTGATCCACGAGGGATGAAACCTACATCTGTGGCCTCATTAATCCTTTACATGACCTACTGGCTGGCCTCCAGCAAGTGAGACAGGAAAGATGCTGAGACCTGCCAGTTGAAGATACAGGATCCTTTCGGATTCAGGGCAGCTCTGAGGGCCCTCAGAGGAGCTTCGTACTCTGTTTAAGTCTCTTTTTCCCTCCTTCCAGCTGCTCACCAGAAATCGCTCACGAGTCATTCATTCATTCATTCAATAAATCAACTTTTACTAGTCACCAACTGATATATATCCTACAAATATGTTTGC